ACGACGCTTGTGCCAGGACATGTGCACCTTGAGGCCACACACACACTCCTACACACACTACACACACGCCACACATACACACTCTTACACACACACTACACACACACGTCTACACACACACTACACACCACACACACACTCCTACACACACACTACATACACGCCACACACACTCCTACACACATACTACACACTCCACAAAACAAACACATTGCACACTTTATGCACTCTACACAGGCGCACACTACACACACTTCATACTCCTACGCACTCCACACACCCCTACACACTATACACAAACTTCACACACTACAAACACCACACACACACACACTACACACACACCACACACATACACTCCTACACACACACTACACACCACACACACTCATACACACACACACCACGCACACACACACTCCTACACACACACGTCACACAACACACACACACTCCTACACACACCACACACACCATACACACACACTCCTACACACACACTACACACACCACACATGCATGCATTCCACATGCACGGGCTGCGTAGGCCACACACACACACACTCCTACATACACACACCACACACGCATGCACTCCACACGCACGCGCTGCGTAGGCCACACAACGACATCGCTCAACAGCAGCCGCGCGCGGCTCAGGGCCAAAGTTGGTGCCCGTGGATCGAGTCGGTTTGTTCGGGGAGAGGAGGAGTGGAGGAGGATGCCTCTTGTTTTGTGTTGGGCGATGTTTGTTTTGGTGTTACACGAATGTCACGGGGAGAAGATGTCATGGGGAGAGGCGCTGCCGCGCGAATCAATGGAGAGAAACCATTGCCGTGAGATTCAGTGGAATGGGCCCTCCACGGGAATCATAACAATAGCGACCACCACCACCGCGCCCCTCCTCTATCTCCTCCCAACCTCTCGTCGCACCGGAGCGCGCGCGACATCCACAGCCAATTCTCCCGTGCCCGTGTCCCACGAATTCCTCATTCCTCACCCACATGCATCACAAACAACACCCTCACACGCACATCACCCACATAGCACACAACACACATAGACCCCCCACCCCCCTATAGCCAAGTATTGTTAGCGCCTGTGAAGGGCGGCACGGCGCGGCACCTACGAGGGGGTGCATGGGTGACCAGGACCCCACGCCTGGCCGCCTTTGTCTCCCCCAGTGCTGATGTTTACACACCGCAGCAGGTAACTTATTTAGGGCTGAGTCGATCTAGGTGGAGGCCCAGGACCGGTTCAGATAATCGTCACCGATGTTGGCCGCGAGCGGGAATCTAACTCGGGTCACACGAGTTCGTGGTGCGGTGTTCTAGCCACTGCGCCACCGTTCCCCGTGCATTCACACCCAACACACACACAGACACACACACAGACACACACACGCAGACGCGTGACACACTCCCACAATGTGCGTTCAAGTAAACCTCAAAATGTGCCGGCTCACTTTGCGCTACACATATGTGTGTGTATATATGTGTATATATGTATATATGTGTGTGTATATAGTGGGGAGCGGTGGTGTAGCGGTGCGCGCGCTGCGCTACGAACCCGGCGTCCCGAGTTCGATTCCCGCTCACGGCCAACATTGGTGACGAATAACTGAAACGGTCCAGGGCCTCCCCTAGGTCGACTCAGCCTCAAATATATACTGGTGCGGTCTGTAAACATCGGCACTGGGGAAACAAAGGCGGCCGGTCTTGATGCTGACCACCCACCCCCTCGTGTGCCTTGCCAGTTTTCACAGCACTTGCCCCAATAGTCGGTTAAGGCTATATGGGGGATCTTTATCTTTGTGTACATATGTTTATAAGTGTATATATATAACAACACACACACGCGTTTAGCAGTGGTTAGCGCGTTGCGCTCCGGACACGAGTTCGCTTCCCGTTCACAGCCAATACCAGTGACGAGCATCTCAACCGGTCCTGGGCATTTCCTAAGTCGACTCAGCCTCAAATGCCTACCTGGTGCGGTGTGTAAACATCGTAACTGCTGAGACTAAGGCGACCTGGCGTGGTGCTGCCCCCCCACCCCAAGTGCTGTACTGACCTTCAGCAACAGTCTATTACGGGGGATCTTTGTGTATTTGTGTGTAAACCATAATGTGTTTTTGTGTTGTGCTATATTTGCTCGTCATTACAAATCTGAATTATCGTGGTGTGTGTATATATGTGTGTATTTGTGTTCGTGTGCATGTATTGTGTCTGCTACTTATTAGTGTGCTGTATGTATACACATACGTATTTATATGTGTTACGTGTGTGTACGTTGTGTGTAATGCTTACGTGCAATGTGTATTATGTTCAACGTGCATTTTGTGCGGTACCTGTTATCCATAACATGCGTGTTGTGTTACCGATGTGTATATCCTGTGTGTAATTGTCTTTGTCTAACATTAAATCTGATCACATTCGTCAATAGCACTGCCCTAAAGGAACGATCAGTATAATCCTGATTTAGTACAATTCGTATCGGCGCTGTCATCACGCAGGAAGGCGCTGCTGTGTCTCACAAACGCAGCCTGCGGGGGTTCCACAGCAGGTGGGGGGAGGCGATGCTGCTGCTGCTGTGTGGTCTCGCCTCGGGGCGCCTCCAGTGGCAGCTGTCCCTGTGTGACACGTATGTTCGTTGAACTACTTTCGCACCGTACGGAGCCAACCATGCTGGTCGGAGGTTCGGTAAATCGGAGGCGCTGCCGTGTTTCACAGAAACAGCCTGCGGTAGTTGTACAGTAAGGAGGGGGCAATGCTGCTGCTGTGCAATGCCAATCGAGTCATTTGCTGGTGATTATTCTTTAACGTCCCCACCGTGAATGACGCGCAGACGACGCGTCTTAAGATTATTCTCACGATGAATCCACCCGCAGAAAAAATATTAACCAGAGCGACCTGCCGGGGTCGAACCACGAAGCTTTGCAACACGCGGCCAACTCGCTCCCGCTGCGCAGCGTCATCACCCACATATACACGTGACATGGGCGACGTTTGGGGCAATGGCCCTTCTTCATGATAGCAGAGAGACCATTAATAATGTCCACTCATGTCCATCGCTGTGGCACGCGGTCTCGCATTATAGACGCGGCGTGCACCACAATCCACTGCTGGATGAGGGGCGGGCCTTCCCACGCTGAGCGGGCCGCGGGGGGCGATTTGCCCATACTTCACCACGCTGGTCAGTGCCGGTCGAGGAAGGTGAGAGGGCAGTGAATGTTGCCGTGTGGTTACAACAACAACGCGTCCACGCGCGGATTCACATCGCATCCCGTTGTGAATATCTCAGTAAATACTCACGAAATCAGTGGTGTGTCGTTATCGCTACGTGTACTTTGTAGTTGTTAGTCGAGTATGTCACGTGTATTTTTATACGTGTGTGTGTCACCTGTGTGCATGCGCGTTGTGTGTTTTTATGTGTATATACGTGTCATGATGCACTAGAGAGGCACTAAAGTAGAAGGCACTATTTTTATTTAGAGCCTTCACAGGCATAGGGAATACTTTAATCGGGTCAGGACAGCAACAGGCTGCCTGAACCACAACGCTGAAGGCGAGGGTAGAGACGAGGGTAGAGACGGTGTTGAAGACGAGGGTAGAGACGAGGGTAGAGACGGTGTTGAAGACGAGGGTAGAGACGAGGGTAGAGACGAGGGTAGAGACGGTGTTGAAGACGAGGGTAGAGACGAGGGTAGAGACGAGAGTAGAGACGGTGTTGAAGACGAGGGTAGAGACGAGGGTAGAGACGGTGTTGAAGACGAGGGTAGAGACGAGGGTAGAGACGGTGTTGAAGACGAGGGTAGAGACGAGGGTAGAGACGGTGTTGAAGACGAGGGTAGAGACGAGGGTAGAGACGGTGTTAATGACGAAGACTTCACGAGCTCCAGGGGTCCACTCCAACAACGGCCCCGAGTCCTCTCCGGGTTCCGCTTTTATCCCCCCAGCGCAGCCTCGCTCTCCCCTGGCTACGCCCCCTTCTAGAACCTCCTAGAAGGTTTCCGTCTCTCTCCCGTACCCCCTCCGCCACCTCTTCCCACGTCCCTTCTCCCCACGTCCCTTCTTCTCCCTCCCGCCTCACCTGCTGCCCGACAGCGTTGCCAGGGCAGCCGAGGCCGTTCTTGCCAGCAGCCAGCGCTAGACGCCCTCGTGACCCATTCCATGTCACTACATTGGTGTGCATGTGTGTGGTGTGAATATGCCTCGTGTATGCTGTGTGTATTTATCTATGTGATATATGTGTCGTGTGTGTGATATGCAACATGCGTTTAATGTTTGTTGTGTACTGTTATGTTTGTACGTCACGTTGTATGGGCGGTGTTTATGTAATACTCTGTGTGTGTTATGTAATGCCGTGTATTGCACAAGCATGCCCCCCTGTTTTATCATTGGATGTCATGTGTGTACTTTACATGATGTGCACAAGTTGTTTGCGTTGTGTTAAATGTGTTTAAGTGTGTAGATGAAGCTGAGTTGTATGTAATGTATGTGTGTTCTGTGTGTAAGGTATGTGTGCGTTATGACAGTTGTAAGTTATGTGTATGTTATGCTGTTTGTTGTGTATGTTTCGTTTGTTGTATCGTGTTTGCTGGCGAAGTGGTTAGTGCTATGAACGTTATGGACATTGGTACTCGGGAGACACAGGCGGCCGGGCGTGGTGTTGGACACCCACCCGCTCGTGTGCCATGCCGGCCTTTATAGGTGCTGCTCACTAACAGCACTTGCCCCAACAGTCTGTTAAGGCTACACGGGGAATCTTTGTCTTTCTTATGTTGTGTATATCGTGTAGCGTATGTCGCGTTATGCTTGTCGTGCATGCTGTGTTGATGTTGTGTATTTTGTATTGATCTTGTGTATATTGTGTTGATGGTGTATATATTATCTTGATGTTGTGTATATTGTGTTGCTGGTGCGTGTATTGTGTTGATGTTGTGTACATTGTGCTGATGGTGTGTATATTGTGTTAATGATGTGTATATTGTGTTGATGGTGTATATATTGTGTTGATGGTGTGTGTATTGTGTTTATGGTGTGTATATTATGTTGATGTTGTGCATATTGTGTTGATGTTGTGTATATTATGTATGCCCTGTTGAGTATTGATCAGGAGGCGCCAGGTCTCCACGTGGCCGCAGGAGCCAAATTCACGGACTGCCCACTCAATCCGCGTTCACTGACCCGGGGACGCCAATTAATTAATTAATAATCCATTAATTGATCCGCGGGGCGACTCGGGGGCGAGGGTCGCGGACCCCCCGCCCACCGCCCCCACTCCCCCCGAGTCGCGAGTCCCGCTCGGTTCGACTCCTCTCCCTTCTTCCTCTCGTCGCGTCTCAGACCCCCTGAACTCTGGACGGGTGCTCGTACCACGCCACGTATAACATGCCACGGTGCAGCGAATACCATGCTACATACCACACAGCACAATACACAAAATACCACGCCCCAATGGTACTTCGATGACCATGAATAATCCCACACCAACGACCGTGCAAAATACCACGCCACAAACCACGTCCCATATGAGGCCGCCACGGTGCGTGGAGGAGGATGCCCCCTGCCACCACGGCGTCTATCGCTGGAGACCCGCGCACGCCTGTCCTGTTCTAATTGCTGCTGTGGTCTCTCGGGCAGAGGGGCTAGTGACTCGGAGTGCTCGTGAGACGCGGGATGTATTCACCACAGTGCCTTAGAAGGGAGAGAGATAGTTTTCAATCATTGCATCTTCCACGCGATGGCATTGATAAAAATATCAACAACGGCGATTTGCGATGGAACAGCAGCAGCAACAAAGCAACAACATCATCGTGTGCGCAACGGGACAGGCAAAGTCGCATCTGAGAATTACCCTGAGATGCAGAGAGAGGAGGAGGAGCACGTGGACCAGAAAATAAATGCAAATCTTACACCACGTTGTCTGCCAATATTCATTTTTGAGCGGCGATGGGCAGGCTGCATGGCTAGCAGGCGAGATGATGAACGGGGCTCGAGACTAACCACGGCATGGCAGGCAAAGGATTAAAAACGCTCCCGAGAGGAGGTCCACAGCAGCGATGGGAGGGATGGGGATCAGCTCGGTGACCTGCACGAGATGAGTACTGGCATCGCGGGGTGGCGGAGGGATGGCCAGAGGAATGGGTTAGTGAGAGCTCATCCAGCAGTGGATAGACCGTGGCTGGTGATGTTGCAGTAAGAACCGCGCACGCTGTGTTCCACGGTAGGCGGAGCGGCGGCGGTGAATGCCGCGGTGAGGGAGACGCGGGGATCGGATCGCGACGATGGCGGAGTACCGTGGGCATCGCCGCGGTCCGAGGCCGCATCCCGCCTCGTTCCCGTGGCCACGCGGCGTTCGCATTTGTCCCCCGCAGTGGAGTCGAGAGTCGAAAGGAGCAGAAGTCACCTCGTATTCTAGCCGGAGAAAGAGAGATCCCGCAGACAAAGATCCCCCGTGTAGCCTTCACAGACTGTTAGGGCAAGCGCTGTGAGCCTGTACGTATACATTCTGGAACGGCACGCGAGGGGTTGCCACGACCACGCCTGGCCGCCTCTGTCTCACAAGTGGCGGTATTTCCACAACGCACCAGGTGCTAATTTGAGGCTGAGGCGACCTAGGGGAGGCCCAGGACCGGTTCGGATGATCGTTAATGGTGTTGGCCAGAGAATCTAATTCGGGTGGCCGGGTTCGTAGTGCAGTGCGCTAACTCCTGCACCGCTGCTCCCACAGCACAGGGAACACACGCGGACACACAGAGACACGCAGGCATCTTCAACGCGTATGTGTGTGCGTATGTGTGAGTGTACATACATGTACGTGTGTGGGAGAGTAAGCGTGTATTTATATGTTTGTGTTTCTATGGTGGGGAGCGGTGGTGTAGTGGTTTGCGCACTGCTCTATATACGACTCAAGAGAGTACCTGTTGTGACGTGTGATAGACTACCTGTTGTGACGTGTGATAGACTACCTGTTGTGACGTGTGATAGACTACCTGTTGTGACGTGTGATAGACTACCTGTTGTGACGTGTGATAGACTATCTGACGTGACGCATGATAGACTACCTATTGTGACGTGTGATAGACTACCTGTTGTGACGTGTGATAGACTACCTATTGTGACGTGTGATAGACTACCTGTTGTGACGTGTGATAGACTACCTGTTGTGACGTGTGATAGACTACCTGTCGTGACGTGTGATAGACTACCTATTGTGACGTGTGATAGACTACCTGTCGTGACGTGTGATAGACTACCTATTGTGACGTGTGATAGACTACCTGTTGTGACGTGTGATAGACTACCTGTCGTGATGTGTGATAGACTACCTATTGTGACGTGTGATAGACTACCTATTTTGACGTGTGATAGACTACCTGTTGTGACGTGTGATAGACTACCTGTCGTGACGTGTGATAGACTACCTATTGTGACGTGTGATAGACTACCTGTTGTGACGTGTGATAGACTACCTATTGTGACGTGTGATAGACTACCTGTCGTGACGTGTGATAGACTACCTATTGTGACGTGTGATAGACTACCTGTTGTGACGTGTGATAGACTACCTGTCGTGACGTGTGATAGACTACCTATTGTGACGTGTGATAGACTACCTGTTGTGACGTGTGATAGACTACCTGTCGTGACGTGTGATAGACTACCTATTGTGACGTGTGATAGAATACCTGTCGTGACGTGTGATAGACTACCTGTTGTGACGTGTGATAGACTACCTATTGTGACGTGTGATAGACTACCTGTTGGGACGTTTGATAGACTACCTGTTGTGACGTGTGATAGACTACCTGTTGTGACGTGTGATAGACTACCTGTCATGACGTGTGATAGACTACCTATTGTGACGTGTGATAGACTACCTGTCGTGACGTGTGATAGACTACCTATTGTGACGTGTGATAGACTACCTATTCTGACGTGTGATAGACTACCTGTCGTGTGATAGACTACCTGTTGTGACGTGTGATAGACTACCTGTTGTGACGTGTGATAGACTACCTGTTGTGACGTGTGATAGACTACCTATTCTGACGTGTGATAGACTACCTATTCTGACGTGTGATAGACTACCTGTCGTGACGTGTGATAGACTACCTGTTGTGACGTGTGATAGACTACCTGTCGTGACGTGTGATAGACTACCTATTCTGACGTGTGATAGACTACCTGTCGTGTGATAGACTACCTGTTGTGACGTGTGATAGACTACCTGTTGTGACGTGTGATAGACTACCTGTTGTGACGTGTGATAGACTACCTATTGTGACGTGTGATAGACTACCTATTCTGACGTGTGATAGACTACCTGTCGTGACGTGTGATAGACTACCTATTGTGACGTGTGATAGACTACCTATTTTGACGTGTGATAGACTACCTGTTGTGATGTGTGATAGACTACCTGTTGTGACGTGTGATAGACTACCTATTGTGATGTGTGATAGACTTCCTGTTGTGACGTGTGATAGACTACCTGTTGTGACGTGTGATAGACTACCTATTGTGACGTGTGATAGACTACCTGTTGTGACGTGTGATAGACTACCTGTTGTGACGTGTGATAGACTACCTGTTGTGACGTGTGATTGTCGAGAGAAACATGCGGAAATTGCTCCAACAGTCTGCTAAAGACTATATGTGACCTTTGTCTTTATATATCTGTGTATATATATATACACGTGTGTGTATATATATACACACGTGCGTATATGTGACCATGTGCGTGCATATTTATGCGTGTTCATATGTACGTATGTACGTGTATATGGTTGTTGGCCGTTGTTGATATAAGTAAATGTGTGTGTTTATTTGTGCATATGCGTGTGTATTTGCGTCTTTATGCGTATTTTAATACCGCGTAGCTATTTATTTATTGGCACATGTCTATAAGTACGGCTTGAATAGATAATTTGACGGTTAAGGTGAGTGGCCTTGGGCAGGACGCGTCGCTAGAAGGGTTGGTGGCCGCTGGGCGAGACTAACAGAGGAGTGGCAGCCAAAGTGGTGAAACTCGTCCGATGGGACGTCCACCGCAGAGACGGAGCGATCAACTCAGAGATCAACTCAGAGATCCGCGAGAGGTAGCTGGGGCGGGGGGGGGGCGGGAGGCTTCATCCAGCAGTGGATTGATCACGGCTGTTGCTGATGATGTTGGCGTGTGTGTGCTTAATTAACACACGCATGTGCTGTGGTTAAAACACCACAATTCGTGAACCAACTGTGCGTGAGTGTAACGAGGCACACGCTCGCACGCCACGTATCCTCACCAATAAAAAAGATCCCCCGTATAGCCTTAACAGAATGTAGGGGCAAGTGCTGTTAACGGGAACGGTACACGAGGGGGTGGGTGGCCATAACCACGCCCGACCCCCTTTGTCTCCCCAGTAACGATGTTTACACACACACACGTATCCTCACCACCAGGATCACCACCAGCCATGGTCAGTCCACTACTGCATGAAAGCTTTCCCCAAGATATCCGCACAAATATTCAAGCCAATCCGCCGACGAAGCACCTGCAAATTTCGTCACTCCATCTCCCCTCGGACGCGTCCCATTGACCACGCGCAACACAATGTCTACTTCACACATACACACTCGCTTTACACACATACACACTCGCTTCACACACATACACACTCGCTATACACACATACACACTCGCTTTACACACATACACACTCGCTTCACGCACATACACACTCGCTTTACACACATACACACTCGCTTCACACACATACACACTCGCTTCACACACATACACACACACACTCGCTTTACACACATACACACTCGCTTCACACACATACACACTCGCTTTACACACATACACACTCGCTTTACACACATACACACTCGCTTCACACACATACACACTCGCTTTACACACTCGCTTTACACACATACACACTCGCTTCACACACATACACACTCGCTTTACACACATACACACTCGCTTTACACACATACACACTCGCTTTACACACATACACACTCGCTTTACACACATACACACTCGCTTTACACACATACACACTCGCTTTACACACATACACACTCGCTTCACACACATACACACTCGCTTTACACACATACACACTCGCTTTACACACATACACACTCGCTTTACACACATACACACTCGCTTTACACACATACACACTCGCTTTACACACATACACACTCGCTTTACACACACACACACTCGCTTTACACACATACACACTCGCTTTACACACATACACACTCGCTTTACACACATACATACTCGCTTCACACACACACTCGCTTTACACACATACACACTCGCTTTACACACATACACACTCGCTTCACACACATACACACTCGCTTTACACACATACACACTCGCCCTGGCTCTCGCCCTCTCTCTCGTAGCGGAAAACAGAGGGGCGACCCGGGGTGAGAGAGAGCACGGCATGGGGAGAGAGGAGGAGAGAGACGAGGAGAAGGGGGGGGGGGGCTTTGGGGGGAAGAGAGAGAGAGAAAGGGGAGCGCGGGGAGAGAGAGGAAACGTCCTTTTGAGAGAAGCGCTCCCCCCACTCCCCCCCACCACCACCCCCCAGCCCCTCCCCCCAACCGGGGGGCGCCAAACCCTCACCGCCGCCCATTGATTTTTTCCGTGGACAAATTTTGTAAGATAGGGGGGGGCGATCCCGCTTGTGTCGGCTGCGCGTCCGCGCCGCCTCTGGGCGCAGAGCCGACCGCGTAGAGAGCGGCGAGACGCGGCGCTTGTTGAGTTTCCCGTAAAGCGAGACGCGGACACGGCTCCCGCGTCTCCCGCGTCTCGAGTCTCCCGTCTCGCGTCTCTATCCGCAAGAACGCGCGCACGCGTGCGTACGTTCTTGTGTGTGTGCGCGTGTGTGCGTGTGTGTGCGTGCGTGTGTGCGTGTGTGTGCGTGTGGAGCGTGTGTGCGTGCGCGTGTGTGCGTGTGGAGCATGTGTGTGCATGCGTGCTGCGTTACGAACCCGGCCAGCCGAGTTCGATTCCCGCTCACGGTCACCAACACCAGTGGCGAATGTTTGAGTAAATGCTGGGTCTCCCCTAGGTCGACTCAGCATCAATTGAGTATCTGGTGCGATGTGTAAACATTGCCACGAGGGAGATAAAGGCGGCCGGACGTGGTGCTGGTTACCCACCCCCTCGCGTACCGTGTTCATCTTTCATAGGTGCTCGCTAACAGCACTAGCACCAATAGTCTGTCAAGGCTTTACGGGAGGTGTTTGTCATTGATTGTACTATCGCACACGCGCCTTTGGGTATAAAATTACACTCACACCAACTCATTTGCTCACACCTACTCACTAACTCGCTCATTAACACCGTCACTAATACACGCACTAACACACTCACTCACTCACTTGCTAACTCATTCACTAACGCACTCGGCAACTAACTTATTAACGCACTTACGAACACATCCATTCAGGAACTACCTCACGAAATCACTAACTCGCTAAGTCACTCGCTCACGAACGCACTCACTAACGCACCGATAGACACCGCACCGGGCAACGCGCGGAGAGGTCATTCTCAGTCCCCTCCGACTCCGATCCGAGTCTCCATTGGAGCGACAACCACGTGGTCACGGTCGCCATTGGAGCGACAACCACGTGGTCTCGGTCGCCATTGGAGCGACAACCACGTGGTCAGGGTCGCCATTGGAGCGACAACCACGTGGTCACGATTGCCATTGGAGCGACAAACACGTGGTCACGGTCGGCTCCATCAGAGCCCAGGCCGCGGCGGTGACGTCACGTAGAGCTGGCAATGCCACGGTCCCTGCCATCACGGTCAATTGGCGCTGATGTTCCTATCCACAGTCGAACCACGAATCTGCTTGGCACGACATCCCACGTGAGGCGTTATTGAACGGTTCTACCTGAGAAACTGAGTTCTATTTTCTGTGCCAGTCTCCCTCGATCACCATCACTGCTGCTGCCAATCTTTTTTCGTACATCTGATGTGGATGCAGAACAACAACTCCATTTTCACATCCGGCTGGTCAAGCCAGATAACCACGTGAGAAGTATCGGAGTGCATCACTGCGATGTCTCCTTCGTATTTGTGGATCGGGCATTGCGTCGTTATACGTTGTACGGTCTGTTCAGGATGACCACAGTCGCACACTACTGGAGAGTTTTTAATTTCCCATTTGTGCATCAGGTATCCGCATGTGCCATAGTTACGTGCAGCAGTGGATGCGATTTAGGGTGAACCATGAGATGATGATGCTACTGAACACAGCAGATTCCGCCCGAGCCTGAATCCTGCCGCCGATGCTGTTGCTGTCACATCTGGAGTGGAGCTCCCAGCTTCTACTTCACAGTTGTAGCTGATATAACTCAGAGGGAAGCAGCAGTCGGGGTGATTGATGCCCCCTGCACTCACCCATTCGCTCGAGTCGATCACTCACGCAGCGGCGGTCAGGCGCCTCCTCGTCACTCTCATAGCGCTACCATCAGCGGTAATGTCCCCATACCAACACCTACCATCAGTAATAATGTCCCCATACCAACACCTACCATCAGCGGTAATGTCCCCATACCAACACCTACCATCAGCGGTAATGTCCCCATACCAACACCTACCATCAGGTTTAATGTCCCCATACCAACACCTACCATCAGTGGTAATGTTCCCATACCAACACCTACCATCAGTGGTAATGTCCCCATACCAACACCTACCATCAGTGGTAATGTCCCCATACCAACACCGACCATCAGCGGTAATGTCCCCATACCAACACCTACCATCAGTGGTAATGTCCCCATACCAACAGCTACCATCAGCGGTAATGTCCCCATACGAACACCTACCATCCGTGGTAATGTCCCCATACCAACACCTACCATCAGTGGTAACGTCCCAATACCAACACCTACCATCAGTGGTAATGTTCCCATACGAACAACTACCATCAGTGGTAATGTTCCCATACCAACAACTACCATCAGCGGTATTGTCCCCATACGAACACCTAAAATCAGCGGTAATGTCCCCATACCAACACCTACCATCAGTGGTAATGTCCCCATACCAACAACTACCATCAGCGGTAATGTCCCCATACCAACAACTACCATCAGCGGCAATGTCCCCATACCAACAACTACCATCAGTGGTAATGTCCCCATACCAACAACTACCATCAGTGGTAATGTTCCCATACCAACAACAACCATTAGTGGTAATGTCCCCATACCAACACCTACCATCAGTGGTAATGTCCCCATACCAACACCTACCATCAATGGTAATGTCCCCATACCAACAACTACCATCAGTGGTAATGTCCCCATACCAACACCTACCATCAGTGGTAATGTTTCCAAACCAACAACTACGATCATTGGTAATGTTTCCATACCAACACCTACCATCAGTGGCATTGTTCCCATACCAACAACTACCATCAGCGGTAATGTTCCCATACCAACAACTACCATCAGCGTCAATGTTCCCATACCAACAACTACCATGAGCGGCAATGTCCCCATACCAACACCTACCATCAGTGGTAATGTCCCCATACCAACACCTACCATCAGTGGTATTGTTCCCATACCAACAACTACCATCAGTGGTAATGTTCCCAAA